ATATTTTCATCCTCAAACTTCATCGTAAGTATAGAAATCGTCCCTTAACTATAAACCACTAAAATTCAGTCCCTCAACTATTTAAATTGGTTAATTTTCGGGGTTGAGGGACAATTTCTATACTTTCGCCAGAGTTCAAGGATGAAAAGTACACTTCCTTTCGCCAGTGGTGTCATTATTTTATGTGAAATGATCCCTAGCCGAAGTGGCAGATCTAGGATTTTTAAACAGGTTGGTCCACCTTAAAAAACAATGGGAAAGGCTTCCTTTCATACGTGTGGTACATGGCAATCATCTAATGCTTCATTTGTTGTTGATTTTCTTGCATCATACGGCTGATAGATCCTAGCGAAATTTCCGTCCAACTTTTCGTAATTTACGCATCCACCTCTCTCATAGTTACTCATCCAATTACCCCACCTCCCAATTAATCCAGATCACATCCTTCTCTCCTACTCCTGACCCACATCGGCGTTGAGCATTGGATCCACCACCCCGCCCCAGTTAGCTTCCCCGCGCCACCGAGTTTTGAAGCCCTGTGTCGCCCCAGTTCATCCCGACACTCCATCCCGATGAGCCACCTATTCCACCCCATAGGTGCTGTTACCTGTGAGCTGTGTTGGGATTTTCTCGAAGAGGAGAGAATGATGCAGTATAGTAGAGATAAGTATTTCCCCCAGTTAAGAACCAAGGTTATCAATCCAGTAGGTGAACCACACAACACCTCGTTAGCAGTACCTACACACAAAATAACAAATCCTTGCACCCAACGGGAACAAAGGGTTGTCAATCCCTTGGCGGTTAGTTACAAGATTAAATTGTATGGTGATAGATAGATCGAAAAAAAATACAAAATATAACAAATAAACAAAAATTGCAACATGGTATTTTTTTGTTTTAGTATATGATAGAAAATAGACCCGGGGGCCATAATTTTCACTAGAGGCTTCTCTCTTGAAAATAGCATACGGTGGGTAAAATTTTTACTGTTGGGCAATTGATAGAAAAGCAAATAATCATGACGATATCCAAGGCAATGATCATGTATATAGGAATCACGTCCGATACAGGTAGACCGAAACGATTCTGCACCTACTACTATTACTCCACACATCGACCACTATCCAGCATGCATCTAGAGTATTAAGTTCATAAAGAACGGAGGAATGCCTTAAGCAAGATAACATGATGTAGAAAAAGAAAAGTCAAGTATGAATAAGCCCCATATTTTTATCCTTAATGGCAACAATATAAATACGTGTCATGTCCCCTTATTTCACTGGGATTTGAGCACCGCAAAATTGAACCCATCACAAAACACCTCTCCCATTGCAAGAAAAATCAATCTAGTTGGCCAAACCAAATCAATAGATGGGAGAGAAATACAAAGCTATAACAATCATGCATAAAAGAGTTCAAAGGAAGTTTAAATAATATTCATGGATAAATCTGGTCATAAACTCACTATTCATCGGATACCAACAAACACACCGAAAAAGTCATTACATTGAATAGATCTCCAAGAACATCGAGAAGAACATTGTACTAAAGATCAAAGAGAGAGAAGAAGCCATCTAGCTACTAGATGTGGACCCATAGGTCCGAGGTAAACTAGTCAGCATCATCGTAAGGGAAGCACGTTTGATGTAGAGCCCCTTCGTGATCGATTCCCCCTCCGGCAGAGTACCGGAGAAGGCCTCCAGATGGGATCTCATGGGAACAGGAATTTGCGACAGCGTAAAAAGAATTTCGGGCGGCTCTATGATGTTAGGGGAATATTTGAGAATTTATAGAGGCGGAATTAGGTTAAGAGGTGCCACGAGGGGCCCACAAGCCTGCCCCCCCCCCCTCTAGGGTCTCTTTTGGTCCAGAAAAAAGTAATCCAAAGTTTTTTCTCCATTTGGACTCTGTTTGATATCGATTTCCTGAAAATCCAAAGACAGGCAAAAAAACAACAACTGACACTGGGCACTAGGTTAACAGGTTAATGCCAAAAAATAATATATAATTGCATATTATTGCATATAAAACATCCAAGATTAATATTATAATAACATGAAACAATAAAAAATTATAGATATGTTAACCTTGACTTGCGGAGTTTGAAACCCGCTTCTTCCAAATAAATGAGAGGAAGAACCTTTTAATTATTTTTGTTTGTGTTTGCTGTGTTAGAGAGCAGGTTACTGGGCCGGCCCGCTACAAGACCCTTGTGAGCGCCAACAGCGCTAACCGGCGCTCACAGCCCCAAAGAGGTGAGACCCTCCAGCGGGACCCATCCAAACCCATCGTTCACTAACTCGCACGAACTTGCAAGTGAGTAGACCACAAGAAAAAAGCTTTATTCACGCTGTCCCAGAAATTGTTGCACTGGCGGTGCTGAAAAAAGCTGGGATTTGCCATGGCCTAATTGTAGATACGAAGACCACGTCAAATTGCCGAAGTGTACAAAAAATGCACACAAAAAAAAGAAACACATGGCAATTTTGTGAGAATATATTATGTGTTGGCCTCTTGGGAGATGTTTCTACCTTGTGAAAAATATAATGTGTGTTGGCCATGCTAAGATTTATAAATATTGCATGCTCTGATTAATAAAATTACCATAGTATATTTAAGTTGCCACGCTAAAGTATCTTAAGTTGGCATGTCAACTAATTCTAAGTTATCTCTAATCATCATGAAAAAAACTCCACCCCTCGTGCTTTTGAAAAACAACCGCAAAAAAGGACTGCAATAAAAAGGATCTTACATGGAAATTTTGCATTTCAATTAAAAAAAGTCTTAGAAGAAATTTGACATGCCTTATATTTTTCGTTTTCAAAAACATAAAAATCAAGCATAGAAAGCCATGACCAAAATTAAATAAAATTGACATGTCATTATTCAAAATAAAATTGATGTTCTCTTAATAATAAAATTGCCATTTGGGAAGTAGAAAAATAGTTCCAAAATTGCCATGAATAAGTGATAAAATTTCCGAAAGCTTGCCATGGAAGCATTACAAGAGAAAGTAAAATTGCCGTGTTTGGAAGAAGAAAAATGTTATGAATTTGCCATGAGATCAAGAGATTTTTTTTAAAAATCTTTTTCGTGTGTATAAAACAAATTGGCATGTCAATATTACAAAAAATGGTTAAATTTTCCATGTGACAAGTTCAAAAATTTATAAATATGCCATCTACATTTTTTTTTGATAAACAGACACTTACGGAAAACAAAAAAATACATATTTTTGCCACCTGGTAAAAAGGAAAACACATAATATATTCTCACAAAAACTAACCAGTTTTAGAGATGATGTGTCTTCTCACAAAATCAATGTTGGGATATCGCTTATTGGGAACTTATCGGTCGATCCAAGATAAAGGGTAAATCGGCCAGTTTATCGGCATATCGACCGATTTATCGCCATATCGACTAATTTATCGGCCGATTTATCTTATCGGTCAGACAACGGTAAGCAATAAATTGACCGATTTATCGGAATATCAAACGATATCTTGAACAGTGTGACAAAATAGTAAAGCAGGGAGGCTTGAGGCACTAGCCAGTGCGATGGGCGGCTGTGTTTGGATAAGAGAGCGTCTGCACCCCTTTTGTGTTCTACTGAACGAATTTCGGAGCTGGCGTGCATCACATCAGATGGTCAGCAAGGCGTTTGCGCGGTACAACGAGATTTATGATGTTTGTCGGTTAGCATTTCCACAAAATGAAATAGGAGTGAGGGGTAGTATCACTGTCGCAACAACACATATTGAAGTCTAATTTGTAATTTTTGTATCTTATGCAATGTTTCGAATATTGATATTAAATTTTGTGACAACATCGAATGATGTTGTGTCAATGAGCTATTTTTTCAAAAAAAAAAACCGAACATTTTTAGATGTGCAACACGGGTTTGGTGCCATGCCACAGGTCAAGTCTCCGACTGTCTACTACAACAACGTCTACCCAGCTCCAGCGGCGGAGGGACGATGATGGTGGCGCGCCTTTGCCTCGTCTTAGCGCTTATAGTCGTTGTTAGGTGGTCCACGGACCTGGTTGTAATTTTTGTTACTTCTGGTGTTCTCCGGACATCCACGACAGATGATGAATAAATTGGAGGTTTATCCCGCAAGAAAAAAGAAATCTCATTTCAGAGATAAATGTATGTCCACTGTTTTTTTAGTCTTTTAGCATGGGGTGTCCACTCTTGAAGTACATACATGTTCCTTGCCAATGCATTCCTATGCACAGTGCTCGGTGAGAATGCTGCGAGAGACAGTTTCTCTATCAACCCGTGTCTGACGGCAAGTTTTTGTGATTTCTGTTTCCTGCAAGCTGCAAACCGGAATATGGAACACAGCATAACGTGTACCATGCCTACCAATACCTCTCATTGCATCCAAACTATTCCAAATAAATAAAGAAAGAAACCCCTCATTGCAGTTCTGTTATCTGCGAAGGGCATGGTAGGTTCCTGTTTTGCATGTACTACATACTTTATCGTTGGCATAGCAGCTTTCCTTTGCATGTACTACGCCACAACTTGTGTCCGTAAAGCTTGAATAACAACGGGTAAAAGGACATATACATTTGCCTCTAATTTCCTCATCCAAATCTCATGCACAAAAGCTCAAAGAAAAGCGGCACTGGAAGAAAGACATCAAATATGTCACCAGACGAGTACACTTGATTTAAACCATCACGTTCACATGGCAGCAAATCTAACTTAAGCATTTGTGACTTTGTACTTGATCATTACGTTATTCAGTCTGGAAACAAGAAACAATACCAGGACACAATTCACTGAAAGAAACACGGCATGGTTAAGTTAGCGATTCACTGACGCAAAACGGTAGAGATGGTGAAACGGTAAGCATTGTAACTACAGATAGCCTCCTACTGCTTTGGAATAGTTGTTCAAACTGAAAACTGTGAGCAAACCCTTTGTGAGCCGTATGTGGACCTGCTGTTTGTGACGTGATGCCCCGCCCTACAGGTTTCGCCGTAGCTATCTACTTCTGTCCTGTAGAGCAGGTGAACTTGATCAATCTGCGGTGTCCATGATGAGCTCCTTGAGCACGTGTTTCAGGCCATTCATCTTCTTCCGGGCTCTCTGCGAAACCATTTTCATGGGAAAAGGTTAGCGTCTGATCGATACGGCATCCCTCCCTGGGGGTATGGTGTTCATTTACCTTCTGAACCTTCGCGATTTTGATTTCAGCATCGTTGAGCTGAGAACCAACTCTGCTCTCGGCGTGTTGGAGGAGCTTCTTGTGTGATGCTTCTGTTGATGCAATCATACAAGAACACCATGGTTCAGTGGCAATTCAGGCAAGGCCAAACGGTTAGAGAGAAACTAAGCATTTAAACAGATTTCTTCTAGTGGCCGCTGTATGATGATTCATTCCATTTGCCTCTTAACAATGATAACAGTGAGCTAAAAACTATAATAATTACTTAAATTAAAAAACACTTCACTGATGACTTTCTTCTAATCATGTGCCAATGGAGATTGGGCAATCATTCTTTCAATTAAAAAGAACATGTGATTTAACCACATTATTCAGCAACAAACTTCATGCCTGAAACAATGTTGGAATCTTATGTGCTGGATCAGTCATATGACAAAGCTTGCAATCTATAATCAAAGTGCTCCAATGGTGATACTATATAAGGCTCCGTTTTGACAAAGGTTAACATGATTCCACATTTTTGGGGGTCCATGCAGAGCATCAGTTTGTAATAAATAGTGCGGCGAGTAAGTATTTCATTTGCATTTCGCAAGTGTAATGTCACTTACTTTGCTTCTCAGCTACTGCCTTAAGTTCTGCATGATAGGCTTCAAATTCCTCGAGAGAGTTCTTGCAACCAAGCAACTGCTGATTAACCTCCTCCTTAAACTTCTCATGAAGAATCCGTAACTGTTCCTGTTGCTCTGAAACCACAAGACATAGAGGACCAGGTTATATCATTTGAGTAACTAACATTTATTCCAAGAGAAACAACACAGGACATGCAAGAAGACAAGGTAAAGTATAAGGATTCACAACGGAATCTTGCCACAAGTGTGCCTTACTAACCAAACAGGCAACTAACTTGGTCATATACCTAACTAACTAGTGGTGTGGCATGGCCAGCATTCCAACCAAACAGGCTCTAACCCTATATGCATACACAGTAAAAAGTCCAAAGAGCAGAAGATAGTAATAAATAAGAAATAACCAAACCAGATTGGATAACTGCAGGCAGATTCAAAGAAATGGTACATTAAATTTTTCTCAAACTAATCTTTCATGGCACTGATTTTATGATTCAGTATTCAGATAATGGAAATGATTCAAGAACAAAATCAACCTATTTAAGGTTAGCTCTTTTTTAGGGGCATTCATCTTATTGTGTTTTCTTGAAGCTTAGGATATGCCGGACCTGCATAACACAGGAATCCAATCATGTCTAACCTTATTTGCCTATATGACTACTCTGCTACTTATTGAAGTAGTACGTTGCCTGAGCTGAATAATCCAAATAGGTCAAGTACGAGTGGCACAATGGATCAAAACACCAGTACATCACATCTATATAGATACTGCTTTCTGAACAGTTTCTGACAAATGGGTCTCATTGTCAGAAAACTCATGATTCACAATATTAATTTCTGCAGTGACACAATATAGACTGTACCTTCAAATGTTGAGTTTAGTCGCTTCCTTTTAGATTTTCCTGCATTGACCAGCTTATCCCTGAAAGTACAGTTGAATGCGTCAAAAAATAGCTGCACCTCAATATATATGATACTTCTATAACAAGGCTATATATACAATTAGGTGTGCATATGCAGATAAGATGTAGTTTCTTTGGTAACACCAGCAAAGATCTTACACATCATCCTGCATCTGCACCTCAACTCCCTCCAGGTGCTGGCGAATTATCTCTCCAGTACCTGCCAGTATCTCAGAACTTCTATTTCTTGTTTCAGACTTGATCTTGGTTTGAAACCTTCCCAGCACCAGCAGTAACTCATCAAAAGCCCTGGTTACAATCAAGAAATGAAATTGGACCAACCAACAAGATCAGATTTGTATTTCTTTATACAACCTAAAACGGACCTGTTCAGGTAGTCATCTGGGCATTGCACTGGTTCTTTGTCTGACATCATAGTTTCTTGTGTTCCTGAATGAATTAGTAATGACATATTAGTTCTGAACTGGAACTGTTAAATCAACGCAAGAAGGAAATCAACTTTACCAGAAGTGGCAAAAGGAACAGGCGAAGGTAACCGCCGTTTGCCTCTTTTACCCTCTTTTAGATGTGATTTCTTATCCAGATTTTCTGTTGGAGATTTATCAGGGCTGTCTACATCTGAAAGCCGTTTGCGAGTTTTATATCCTGCACATGGAGAACCAGTTACAAATAAGTAACACATCACAGGTAAACAATTTTTGGATATATGACAATGTAATTTATACATCTCCAACAGCACGAGGGAAAAGCTTGGCTCACACTATTAATTTTCCAGAACTAAAGTGGTCAAAATACTAAACTTAAAGCACTTAGCAAAACACACTAATGAAACGCATTTAAAGTAGCATGCATGCACATGACAGGATATGCCACATGATGCTTCTATTCCATTGGAATGGCTTCTCATGAGCAAGCACTTCATACAATAGTTAAGAGTGAGTGCATCATCTTAGCATACCAGCAATCATGGCAGTACTTTGGAGAGCCCTAACCTTAAAGCCACAGCAGGATTATTGGAGTGTCTGGCACTGATAATGATTGATCAATGACTGCTATGAAAATTCTGTGGAAATAGAGCTGATGCAATAGTAGGACTATTGGACATAGTTAAAAAAGGCGCGCCTAGGCTCTATGCAATAGCAAAATGTTTAGCACATAATTGTGCTTAAGCGTACACTTTGGTTAGAAAAGCGCAAGGCGGTGGCGAAATGCACAATTAACACCTAACTTTCTTTTTTACTTTGCTATTGGATGCTCTGACCCCCAATGTTTTTTTTTTTGAGGAAAAGGGCAGAAGCTCTGCCAATAGTGTTTAACTGGTAATGGACGCATAGAGAAACAATCGATCTATATATGTAAATACATAGAGAAGAATGTGTTCTACATGAGTACTGTCCTCATGCAGAACAAAATGGGTAGTACTCTGTAAACTAACACTGTCACCTTCAGTTCTACAAATGTGGCAATAAATCTGAAAGGAACAAAACATACTCTAGGAAGCTATTGTTTTGCCTGTATAAAGTATCAATGTGTATTGAAAGTTGCAAAGTTGATATTCTGACCTTTCCCAAAACTTGGAATAGAAGTTTGAGCCATTTCATCTTCAGTTGGCAAAATGGGTGAAAGATATGGTTGTTTTTTGTTCTCTCTTTCTTCTGAAGTATTGGGAGATTCACTTTTAGGTAACTCATAGGTTTTATCCATCCCATCCTGGATATCAGCAGTACATGAATGAGTGACAAACAGATAGGAGTTACTCTGTTACATGAGTATAGACAAAACAAATTTACTATGGCTGTGAAATGATTCAAAGATGTGGAAAGCCTACCAATGGCTCAGACCCTGGATCAGAAGCAAAGGAACTTGATCTTGACCTGTTCACACTTTTTGGATACTTGGGGCTGTATGTGTCATCATGTAGCACTTTGCTTCTATTGTGGTAGCCATTTACATTAGTTGCAAAAGTAGGACTTGCAAACTCATCTCCCATGTCTCTGAATCTGGCTGCCAATGGACTGGCAAACTTCTCTCCCAGTTTACCATTTATCTGGGGGCTTGCCTCATTGTCCCATGGGTACTTTTTCGCTTCAGGTGATGGACTAGCAGCACCAGATGGTTTGCCATTTATCTGGGGACTTGCCTCATTGTCCCATGGGTACTTTTTCGCTTCAGGTGATGGACTAGCAGCACCAGATGGTTTTCCATTTATCTGGGGACTTGCCTCATTGTCCCACGGATACATTTTTGGTTCAGGTGATGGACTAGCAGCGCCAGATGGTTTACCATTTATCTGGGGACTTGCCTCGTTGCCCCATGGGTACATTTTCGGTTCAGGTGATGGACTAGCAGCGCCAGATGGTGGCAAGCTAAATGTATTTCCCGCTGGTTTATGTGCCTGAGGGCTTCGGTCTGAAGCTTTGCTCAAATTAGAATTCTCCTTCCGGTGCAGCAATGAAGAATAATTTTCCTTGCTCTTTGATGAAATATTCTGCGAAGAGAGCTTATCTTCACCCTCATTCAGTGTCGTGGGCAGCAACTTCTCTGACAAATGCGTCTTCTGAAGCCCAACTTTAGCCCCATTCAGCCGTCTCTCCCTTGTAGGGCTTCTAGAACGGCTCTCAGCAGTTTTTCCAGTTCGGGACAACGAAGAAAAGGAGGTGGTTTTCTCTCCCTTATTCTCCGATGCTGCATTTCTAGAAGATTGCTGTCCTTCCCTAGCATCCTGTGTGATCTTATCAGAAATCTTGTCAGAACAATGGACCTTCTTAAGCTCTAATTTAGCCTTCCTATTTGAGCTTCTAAGATTTCTCAAGCAGCGAGAGTTACCATTTGCAGATTTCCCCACGGTTTTGGGTGTGCATTTCTCATCAAAAACAAACACACTGTCCAGTGTTTTCTGCTTGGGTGCAGAACGTGAAGTAGACAATGGTTTCTTTGCACTCTGGCTCTTATCCTGCTTCTTGGAGGCTGCTGGTGCTTTCGTGCGACCCAAGGTGCGAGTAACGGGCCTCACTTCAACTACTTGTGGAGTATCAGAATCTGACTCAATTGGATCAGAGGAGGGTTTGCTCTTTGCATAGGTAGCTGTTTGACAGTTGAGAAGATCAGGTGTCTTGATAATATCAGGAAAACGTGACGTGTAAACCTTCTTGATCCCTGAAGATGGTCCATTGGCGGTTAGACTTTTAGGTTGGTCCAGTCTCTCAATGTCTTCAGGGTTTGGTGAAGCAACAGCCTGCTTGGTTTGTGATGTGCCAAGGATCCCCCACAGCTTCATCCTGAGCACTTCGCTGTTGGGTTTGGTCTTATCTGCAGATTCCACTCGGCGCTTTCCTTGTGAATTCACGACAGATGTCTTCTGCAGTTGGTCAAGCTGGCTGCCTTGTTCTTTTCTTGTTCCAAAGGAAAAGGTTCCGGTTTGCTCACGTGCATGGTCATCAGGTTGTGACAGAGAAACCTTAACATGGGCGGCTTCAGGTGCCTCTGTAGCAGATCCTCCATGGTTTGCAGCTTCTTGTGAGACCCGGAGTGAAGCATTATTCGCTTTCGGAGGTCTCGATCTTCCATCAGTTCTCTGAGACAGATTCCTCTCGAATGCAGGGGCAGCAGCAGCAGCAGCAGCAGCAACATCTCTGCTTCTTGATACAGAATCTGACCTTGGATGAGGTATGCCAATTGATACCTTAGGAAATTTACCAGATGGATACTGGTTGCTGGCCAAATTCCAGTGATCACTTGATGTAGCCTAGAAACATCATAAAGCATGAGTTGTTAAAATAGCACTAGTGTGAAAGAACAGCTAAACCTGAAACAGGAAGCACATCCTACAATTTAGCACAGGAAGGAAGTTGCTACTCACTTTCTGGATATTCGGCAGCTTGATCTCCGTCATTGCAGCTTCTGGGATAATAGTAGACCAAATTACCTAGAGTTGAAGCTGGTAAACAGGAGAACAAGAACATTAGGTAAAGCTCCACCAATGTTAAAGCATCTTTTATTTAGGATCAAATTAAGCTCCACAGAGATGTATAAATACAATATATACGAGACTATAAACCATGCCTGAGACTAAGACCAGATTCAGAAATGAACAGTAACACAGAAGACAGAATTATGCAAGATACTCTTGTCAAGTGTAACTAATGCCAGGTCTGAATTGGTATATATGCAGCAGTAATTAAAATGAGTCAAATGGAACAGGCTGCTAGCTAGCTGAGAGTAAGAGCATACCAACCAGATCAGACTTAGCCTAGTCTGAGAAATACTAGTAGCTAGGACTAGCCCCTTGTAAGCATATTTGAATTAATGAAAGATTAGAAGTAGCAGGTGCAATGCAACTGTATCATATACATTGGGCTAAACGTGGTCTCAGCATTCAGAGGTCGTCTTCCACAAGCAATATATACAGCCTTCCACAAGCAATGCATACAGCTTAGGTCGTCAGATAACTTATAACTCGGGAAATGCTGGGACAAAGCAATACTAGTGAGTAGTGACACATTTGCAAGACTTGCAGCAGCTGACCTAGCCTAACCGCGTGTACGGAAGCATTCCAGCAAAGAGATCCATGGAAGATCAGGCGTTTGATTGACGGCAACCAGCCGAATGGAACCGAGCAAACCACGGCCAAATCAGACGACGCGAGCAAAACAAATTCGCAACGACAAGCAAGCGTATGACGCGATCGAGGTGAAATTACAGCATGTAGATCAGGAAATCAACGGCTGCGGGCGCCTGATCCCAACCCCTAAATAAACCCTAACGAAACCTTGCGCGCGGGAGACCAAGGTGCGCGAACCGGGCCAATCCAGCCCACGGGGGAGTCTGAAATCGGTACCTGAGGCCTGAGAGTCCCTGGTGGCGACGTCCGGTCCGCGCGCGGCGACCGGGGACGGCGGTGCGCGGTGGGCTCGTGCGGCGCTCGGCGGGGAGGCGGGGGGCTCGATCCGGGTCTGGACGGGCGGCTTGTTCGCGGCTGGTCGCGCCGGTGGTGGCGGTAGCGGAGGTCGGCGGAGGCTAGGGTTTCGTGGAGAATTGAGGACGGAAGAGGGAATTCAAAATCGAGGTCGCAGTCGCAGCGAAGGAGAGGGGAGACGAAGGCAGGGGACGACTGATCCCATTTCTTGAATAGCCCGCATCGACTTGTATCCTCCATACACTCCTGGCCCATGGGCCCAACGGGTGAACCCACACACTTACTTACAAGGCCCACTCCAATTGCAGCCTGTGTACCGGAAGTCTTTGGAGCATTTCTTGTAGCAGAGATTTTTTTTTTTTTTTTGCGGGGTTCTTGTAGCAGAGATTAACACCATGCAGAAGGTGTTTCCAAGGGATTTCATACCTTTAATCCAAGTCAGCATACCTGTAATTGTTATGAGTATATGAGTAAAATTACACACGTTTCTAAAAAAAAATCTAATGGTCTGTCAGCTCTAAACCCCTTCCAGTCCAGGGTAGCAATGATGACAGCATCCGGACTGTCTCTTGGTTTTTCCAAGTAGCAGATTCTGCAGGTAAACTAGACCAATGGGTGAGCGCTTGTAATAAGGATCCATTGCGTTTCTTGATCAGCCTTCTCTCCAAAACTTCTTCTGGAATGACATTGTGTATGCCTAACAATGGTGCCTCAGTCGCATTAGTGAGTACTAGACTGTGGTTTGAAACATGAGTGTTACATTGAGAAACATGGCACACGGGGTGAACCAGGCTTTTAGCCGGTAACGCCAGTCGATAAGGAGCTAGACCAATTCTTTCCAGAATGGTAAAGGGTCTAAAGAGCTTCATGGAGAGATTTGGAAAAAGGTTTGTTGACCACATAAGTCTCTCCATAGAATTAAAGTTTTAGATATAGTGAATCTCCCACAACAAACTCTCTGAATGTTCTATTCTTATCAACATCAACTTTCAACAAACTCTCTTGGAGACAATTATCCAACTCGGCATGTGCATTATGGAGGGGTTGTGGCAGTTCCCAAAATGGACTCATGCCCATATATGGCTTCAAAGGAGTACACCCCAGTGAAGCATGAAAGGTTGTATTGTACCAGAATTCTGCTTAAAGTAACCACTGAGCCCACTGTTTGGGAGTGCCATGTACATCACGCCTCAAATACATTTGCAAACATTGGTTAACTCTATCAGTCTAACCATCTGTTTGACGATGATAAGCAGTAAACATGTAAAGCTTGGTGACCCACGGTTTGAATAATTTCCTCCAAAATTGCTAGTAAATATTTTGTCTCTATCTCAGGTGATTGTATGGCATACCATGTAACTTGACAATGGTCGATAAAAAAGGAATATGATATATGTGCAACATTGAAGGGGTATTTCAAGGGTATAAAGGGACTCTACTTGGTATATATTTGTCCACCACAACAAGTATAGAAAATTAGTCAGCAGACTCAGGCAACCCTATGATAAAATCTATAGAAATGGCTTCCCGTGTCCTTTGGGAATAGGTTGAGGATACGACAATCTAGGATACCTACAATGCTCATGTTTTGGTTGTTGAAAAATCTAACACTATTGAACGAAGTTATTAAAAATTAACTGTAGTTTTAATCCCTGCCCACTGAAAATGCCCCCCCCCCCACTTTTGTAAGTTGCTTGGCTTCCAGAAAATGCCCCCCCCCCACTTGAGATGAATTTAATGCTTCAATGATTTTTCTCTGAATGCCGGGATTTACATCTACCAAAATCCAGCCTAGATTTTTCAAAAGGCCATTTTCCAAAGAATATTCGGACTCTTCATCAAGGTTCATTGCAAGTTTATGAAGCTATTGATGATCATGAGTGTCAATCTCATAAGAGTTCATAATTTCTTCTATCCAAACTGGTTGAGTTGAAGAAACTGTTGGTAAAGCAAACACATGCCCCACTCTAGAAAGGGCATATGTTGCCTTATTTTTAGAATCTTGTTTTTATACTGCAAAGTGAACTACAAGGCCACTAATTTTCGCATGGCCTCTTTTTAAATCAATAATTAATTCTTGACTGCCCGGCTAATAAAGGCTTTGTGACATGTTTTTATAACAAAAGGACCTCTAAGGCCTATCCACTACCACAATAATGGCCATAACCTCCTTTTCATAAATGCCCACTTTCTGATTAGATGGATTTCCTTCTTGGCTGAGCACTGCTCCAATGCCAGTATCATAGGCATTTGTTTCAATACAAAAATGTTTGCTAAAGTCGGGGAGGACCATTACTGGAGTTGTTGCCTTGGCTTGTTTCAATTGCTCGAAAGCTATTTGAGATATAGGATACCACATAAAGGCTTTCTTCTTCAAACTTTTGCATAGACTCTCCACTCTTGAATTGCTACATTAAGAACCCTACATACATGTTTCGTGCCAATGCATTTGATGCATTCCTATGCACACTGCTCTGTTAGAATGTTGTGAGAGACAGTTTATCTATCGTCCAGTGTCTCTCTAATGATAAGTTTTTGTGATTTCTGTTTACTGCAAGCTGCAAACCGGCATATGCAACACGCATAACGTGTACCGTACCTACAAATATCTCTCATTGTGGTTCTATTATCTTCCAAGGGCATGATAGGTTCCCATTTTATATGTACATACTTTATCATTAGCACAACAACTTTCTTTTGCATGTGATGTGCCACAACTTGTGTACATAAAGCTGTAATAATAACAGGTAAAAGGATCAAAGATGTATAACCTTCTTTGAGTACGATCGTACATATACATTTGCCTCAAATTTCCTCTGATCCAAACCTCATGCACAAAAGGAACATATTAACATAATTTATTGAGGTGTTCGACAATCATTCAACCCAATTAAGTCTAGGGGATCATATCCCCCTTTTATTCTAAAGACCGACTAAATTTTGTACTAAGAAATAAAACAAAAGTAATACCAAATGATGACCAAATATGTCTTCTAACTTCCATTGGTGCTTTATATAGTTTAGATCCTGGTTTAATGTGCCAACCATTTATTCATTGCCTAGTCCCATGTTTGTTTTCCCTTTGAAACCTAGTCATTTTTTGTTTTCACCATATATTCGTCTTCATCAATTTGCGTTGCTACTTCGGATGGCCTCCCTGTTGGACGCCTTATAGATTTGGAGGAGTATGCTTCTTTCCCATTAGCCTTCATGCTTTTCTTCTTGATTTTTTGGTTCTCATCTGGTGAATCTAAGTCTGTAGAGATGTTGTTGTCCCCATCTGTAACAAATAAAACAGAAGTTATTATGAAAGAAATACAAATACGATCCTTAGACTAGCTCCATGTATTATAGCCTTGTGCATTCTATAATTTTGCAAAGAAAATCTAACTATTTTCATTATGTTTTCGGCTTTTTAGAAAAGAGTACAAGCAATGTGTATTAGGGGCGGAGGAGAAATATTTCATATATTTGAATATGTTCTTTAAAGTTTTACATATGCACCAATATGATTTTCAAGAAAACCTACATAATTTTTGACTACTCAAAACTAATTACAGAATTGCTTGCAAATATACTTGAACGTTGATGTGCAAAAGTGATAAATCAATTGAAGGATCCATGTTTGATTCAGTTGTTAGTGTTCATTTTCTAAATCTCACATAAATATAAACTATGTATATCATACATTTAATCCATTATATAAATCAAAGTATGTTGAAAGCTTTCCAAAGCTCCAGAAAATTGCGTATAAAGTCATTAAGCAACTTGAAAAGGGATGTAATTTACTTGTAGCTTTCTAACTAATGGACCTCCTAAGATAGAAAAAGAGCAAACAAATGTAAACACTCTCAGGTAAAAGCAATCTCACACAAAACAGAGGAGTGCAAATAAGCACACGAAAAAAATTAAGTACCCACAAGATTGTGTAGTAGTATGAATGAGTATTTTTTTTTCATCATTTATCTACTTGTGCA